GTCGTTCGTTACGATCTAAATCCACACATCTTCCAGGCTATTTGTATGATCGTTTCACACGAATGTAAGCCCTAATTAAATAAAACTGCAAGATAAAACATTTGAATATTCCTTCTCGAAACTGAAGCCAAACCATAAGGTAGGCTGGGAAGCCACTGAGAATCTCCTCTGGATCTGTGGCATCCCCTAGTTTTTGTTCCTTTGGATTATGTAATAAATGTTTCAAGTTTGAACCATTCTTTTTTACACACCTCTTTGTCCAATTTAGTTGAAAAGTCATATCTTTTTGAAGTCCTTGAAGATAATTTTTCCTGATTTTTATCGAGAGTATTCTTAAGTGATTTCAGTCATTTAAGATGTAATTAACTATAGGGGTTTGCCCTTATAGGAAACTTTTCCGAACCCAGCTTAAAATAAACCCTATTTAATTTTTCATATTAAATAGAAGAATTTGTCGGCAAATAAAACGGTTTCGCAGACCAAACGGACGTCATATACATCTTAGTTTATCGGATCGAGCCTCATCCTTAAGTCTTGTGTTTATCCTTCGGGGTGGATACAAGATTTGAGGTATAGTGCTCAAGGTAAAACGCTCTTTCATTTACTCTTTCATTTAAACTATGAAAAATATGAGGTCAGTTTGATTTTTCATATTTGATCTTTAAGCTTAAATCTATACGTCCTTCCGAGGCGGGCGACGGGATTTTCAATTCCGGTGACCGACAGCTTCTTACGGACAACCCCCCCAAACCACAAACAACCCATCCCCCCACTTTTCCCCGCCGACAATGACCGAGCCTTTAATGCATAAGAAGTACTGAAGAGATCCCAATTACTTCATTTCAAAGGACTTAGCAAGAATTTTTTCAAAGACTTCATTGTTGGGTGATCGCTACTTGGAAGAACAATAATGTCGTCATAAACAATAATGATAGCTATATAACCATTAGAGGATTATAGGAAAAAGAGAGTGTGATTCGATTCAACCCGAGTAAAATCATAATCCACGACCACCTTTGTGAACTTGCCGAACCAGGCTCTTGGGGACTACTTTAGCTCATGGAGGGACTTTTGCAACTTGCACACTTGTCCTCTGAAGGTATTAGAGTCAAAGCCAGGAGGGAGAGACATGTATATCTCTTTTGTAAGCCTTCCATTCAAGAACATTTTCTTGACATCTAACTGGAATAAAGACCAATCCATATTCTCCGCAAGAGACAATAGGACCCGAATAGTGTTTAACTTAGCCACTAAAGCAAATGTCTTCCCATAGTCAACCAAATATGTTTGAGAGTACCCTTTTGCAACCAATCGTGCCTTGTTGCGTTCAAAGGATTTATCAGAGTTGAACTTAGTGCTAAAAATTCATCGACATCCCACAACTTTCTTACTCTGAGGAAGATTAACGACGTCCCACATATTGTTTCACCGAAGGACATTCATCTCCTCCATTACTATTGTTTTTCATGCTAGATCAGCAAGAACAATCTCAATAGTAACTGAGATTTGATGGCCCATCAGGGCAGTAACAAATGCTTTGTAAGTCGGTGCTAAACTGCAGTAAGATACATATTATCATAAAAATAGAGTGAATATGTTTGATTGTATACCTTACTCAGAGAACTCAGCTCCTCATTCGGAGGAGGGGTCGTGCTGAGAATGTCGCTCAGAATGGAGTCAGGGTTCTGTAAGGAGGTAGCGAGCTACAAAGTGGGGCATTGAAACGGGTGCGTTGAGTGTAGACAAGGACAGTGGGAGGAGACGGTGCACTCAACGGAACAGGGGACTCCTCAGTTGCATGAGCAATGGGGGGAACATCTATAGGAACCCAAGCTTCCCTTCACCATGAGCTTGTTTGTGGTAGTATTAAGAAATCGATACCCATTTTGAGTGATGGAGAATCCTAGGAAGATACATTTTATGGATTTGAGATCAGATTTTCTCTGAGTGGAGGCAGTGTTTCGAGTAATGGTGGTGCACCCAAAAATCTTGGGATATAATGCGGAGAAAACTCGATTGGTAGGGAAGCATGGTATTAGGACAACTAAGGAGGGCAAAAATTTATGAATTTTAGAGGGTACTTTATTTATAAGATAGGTGACAGTGTGAATGACATCGTTCCAAAATAGTTTCGGGACATTAAATTGAAACATAATGAAGCGAGCAACATCGAGGAAGTGACGGTTTTCCTCTCCTTCACCTCATTTTTTTGAGTGTTCGTACACGAGCTACGATTGAGGATGCCCTTATTCATTAAGAATTCATCTAAAATAGAGTTGAAAAACTCACGCCATTATCGTTCTGAATGACTTGAATAGGAGTTTTAAATTGAATTAAAATAAAGGTGTAGAAATTTCGAAAGATGACAACAACCTCCAATTTGTCTTTTAAAATGTAGACCTTCGTCATCCGAGTGTGGCTATTGATCAAAGTTAGGAACCACCATTTATTGGTTTATAGCTAGAAGTGCGAGAGGATCCCCATAGGTCACTATGAATGAGAAATGAGCAGAAGGTCTGGAAGTGTGGGATGTGTCATGAACTCGATGATGTTGACTAATTGATATGTCTCACAATTAAAATCAGAAAGATTTTTATTAGAAACCATCAGGGTTCAAATTTTTAAATATTGGAAATAAGATGATCCAAACACGAATGCAACAACATAGTGGAATATTCAATTACCTGAGACAAACTACAATTCCGTAGTGGTGTGTCCTCACTCTTCGTGCTCTTCTCTTGGAAGTAGTAGAGTTCAACTACCTTCTTAGCAATTCCAATCATCATCCTCGAACGACGATACTGAAAAACACAACCATCAGAAGAGAAATTAACAACTCAATCAATATCATTTGTTAATTTGTTGTCAAATAACAAGTTACATTGTAACAAGTGAGCATGTAAAACAAACTCCAGAGTTAGACTGGTCGTTAGTACAATCTACCATTTACCAATAATGGAACTACATGAGCCATCAACAATTCTGACAATATCTTTTCCAGAGTATGGATAGTAAGTCCAAAAAACTTGCGAGCATCCAGTCAGGTGATTCGTGGCACCTAGATGAACAATCCACGAACTAGAGGAGGAAAAAAACTGTGAGCGCCATAGAAAGGGTACCTTGCCAGACATGGGAGGTCGACAAACTCGTTGATAATTGATTGACTCCAAATAGCTTGATCAATTGTACCATCTGGGTTTTTCAGGGATTCAAAGGATTCCATAATGCCCCGGGTAGGAGTTGGCTGAACTGTGGTAAATACGGAAGTTGTCGTGATTTAGCCGACGGTTTGTATTGCGGTTTATCATGAAGTTTCCAACACTTATCTCGAGTGTGGTTGAGCTTGTGACAGTAATCACAAGCGGTGTGACCGGTCCAAGGTGGCACGGACGAGGTATGAGCACTATTCAAGATCAAGAAGGATGATTTGGCTGATGAAGTATAGGTGTCGAGCATGAAAATTCTCTGGCTCAGTTCTGACGAATCTCGATGAAAGCAGCGCGAGCGGTCGGAAGAGTGCCCCGACCAAGAATACGGCCCCGAACTTTGTCAAGGTCATTATAGTATCGGACCACGGTCCTTGACCTCTGTTTTCCCTCCGGATTTTCTTAAGTACCTCATAGAGTTGGTCGGAATTTCTTACTTCTGAGTAGGTATCGTGGACTACCGTCCGGAGGGTACTAGCTGAAGGAAGGAACATATATGAATGACTAATCGAAGTCTCCATAGAGTTGATCAACCACGACATGAACATGGAGTTCTTCACTTCCCAAGCTCCATATGTCGGGTCAGTCTTTGGATGCTCACGAATCATATTTGTGAGGTAGCCAAATTTCTCGCGTCCTGTGATGAACAAAGTGACATCTTGGGACCATTAGGGGAAGTTACTGTCATTCAGTTTATTGATTGTGATCAAGAAGTTCATGTTAGTTTCTGGTCCTCCGATCTGCAAGGGAGCAGAGGTTGGAGTCGATCCTCTGGTGGAACCAAGAACACATTCTGATGGTTGCTCAGTGTTGGATGAATCCACTATAATTATGACTGAGCCAAAGAAGATATGGTTTTTAGGGCCATCGACATGTAGATACAACTGCAGGAATCTGGATACCTGATGGGATGTTGCACTGCTGCAGGAATTCTGTTGTAGGTGGGTGTAAACGCCGGAAAAACAGTAGGGTAGCTCTAAAAGAAAATAATAGTGGGAAGCACACATGTTGGAGTCGGCGGCTTGTGCTTGCAGACGGGAGTCCTTACGGTTTTAGAGGAGGCCGGCGGCGGGAGGGAACCGCTTGAGGAGGCCGACGGCTTGGAGTCCTTGTGGGGCTGTTGGCAGCCTGGATCTAGGTTTAGACTGTGATGCCTTATTGAGATTTAGAATAGAGCAACATGCAACATGAAATTATTGACAGAATGAGGGGTATTTAAGGTCAATTATAATAGACACAACAAATGAAAGAAATAAAACAAAATAAAATAAATGGGAAAGAAATAAAATAAATGGGAAAAAAATAAAAAGGGAATAAAAGCTATATCAAGTAATAAAGGCTAGGGATTCCTGTTATAAATCTAATATTAATCATACTGTAGCTTGGCTCATTTTATTAGAAAATTTTTCCGATGAATCTGCTTGTTGGTTTATCATGCTGAATCTTGATAATCTCTTGGCTATTTGTTTTAGTGTTTAAGATTTCTGAGAGTGAGAAATCATTAATTCCCTTAACTCACATGATTGGCAAGATTTAAAAAATCCTAAATTTAACTAATAATACAATTGAATTTGTCAAAAGAGTAGGATTTAAATTTTCAACTAATCCTGTTTGGCCGGAATTCAATTATATATAAAATAGGATACCAAAACCCAATGTTGTCTATCATTGTGAGAGTGCAATTTTGTTTTATGTGATGATTTCAAGAGTTGGAATTTGTAAATTTTCACACACACACACACACACAGATATATATACATACATTTATTTATTTATTTTGATTCTTATATGCAGTTACAATGGAGCATGGATCATTGAATGATATAAGGAATTCAACTTTTTCTTTGATGGATGAAGACCACACCTTGGCAAACTCTCTGAGATTCTTATTAAACAAAGAGTAAGTTTTTTCTTGGATTATTGATAAAGCTGTCAAGTATGATATAATTGAAGTTGTTTCTCGCTCCATATTGTTCAATATTCGATGAATGTTTTTTTTTTTTGGAACATTTTAAAAGCGTAAGATACATAATGCTATATTTAAACTACCATTTTAGTTTAGAACTAACATGAGCATATGGTACTTCACATCTATTCATCCATGCTATCCAAGGTCTGAACTAATAGAAAGAATATGCCGTCTCAACTGCATTATTATTGTGAAACAGAAGCAGGGAAAAACTGTGTCAATATGTCGTCTCTTCTGCTGTTGAATGACATCTGGTCTAGTGCTTGGTGATATTTTATTTGAAGAAAGATTGCATTTTGCTGCGATAAATGTGGTTTTAATAAGAAACCTTTTTTTTTTTTTGTAGCCCTCGGGTTGAATTTTGTGCGTATAGTATCCCTCATCCATCAGAAAATAAGGTTAATATAAGAGTTCAAACTACAGGTACAGTAAGCTCTTCCCTTTTATCTCTCTCTCCAAGGTTCTGTTCTTTCCATTAGTTTGGGTTTGGAGCATTTACATACATGCCAACCAATGCTTATTTATTTACATATTTAACCCCCAAACTTTGCTTTTTTATATTTATACCCACCCAATTGTTTCGTATCACATCAAAATACCACTATTTTAACTTTTAAAATGTGAAATACGCCTTTTCATGCATAGGTAGTGGCAGAACCAGATTATGCCCAGGGTGGGCAATTGTTTTCTTGGAATTGTAACTTCTCTAGATAAATATTAAAATTAATATTCTTTTCTTATGCAGTTTAGGCAATTTCCTATATATTTTTTTACTTATTGCTTTAAAAAAATTAGTTATTTGGTTGCCCTGAAAATAATATTTGTTCCACCCCTGTGCACAAGTAAGGTGACATGCATCTAAAAATTGAAGCTTAGGTGTTAGATATATAAGTACTTAGGAATTAAGAGGTATATATATGTAAATCTTCCTTTTTTTTTGTTTTTTTAGTTTTACCATGAAGTAGACATGGTCACAAGAAGAACATAAATAAATACTCATTCCAGAACTTTATAGAGCATTTCTCCTAATCTCTTGTTTTCAACAATGCATGCTTAGAAGGTTATCCATAAAATATATCTATATAAATGCATCCATACTACTTTTGCATGCTTTTTTTACATTTATACCCACAAATATTTCATATTACGTAAAAAACATCACCATTTTAACTTTTAAAATACACATTTTCATGCATAAGCAAAAGTAGTATGGATGCAAATGTTGAAGTTTAGTTGTTAGATATGTAAATACATAGAAATTGAGTTGTATGTATGTAAATCTTCCTTTTATTTTTTCAGCCAAATACATTGAAAATGTTAATATGAATGCTGCTAATATTGTAATTTTTCTTTTAATGTGAAAAGCAGGTGATTCAGCAAAGGATGTGTTCAAAGATGCTTGCCAAGATCTTATATTGTTGTGCCAGCATGTGAGGTCCACATTTGATAAAGCTGTTGCCGATTCTTCAACCAAATGAGATTTGTTTCTTTTCCCACCATTCCCTGCTTTGCATAATAAGACTTTATCTACGAACAAATGTGTTCATGTTTCTCATCAGCTTATGTATTGATGACTTATCATTCCTTCTGTATTTACAACTTCAATTTTTACGTATCAATCCTTATGCTTGAAAAATGTATATTTCACTTTTAAAAAAAAAATTACAATGATAGTGTTTTGATGATATTAATGTAAAAGTAAAAGCCTAGGCATTAGATATGTAAATACATAGAAAGAGGTGTAAACGAGCCGAACATGAGCTGTTTATGAACAAAGAGTTATTTTGACAACCCTAATCACGTGGCCATAAGATTTTAAGGGTTGGGATAAGATTTAAAAATTATTGTTTATATTAAAAGATCATTTGAATCTAATTTAATAATTTTTATTCTATTTTTTTAATTAATACTTTTAATTGATTATAAATCTTTGTAGTCTTGTAGTCAATTAAATTTATTAAAAATACTACTCATCAATATATATGTAAAAATACTACCCATGCGCATTTAGACCCCATGATTAGAGCCCGCACCATGTGCTTATAATTTCATAGCCCCTGTACCACGGTGGGATCGAACCGTTGACCTAAGGGGACTTACAATGACCCTGCCACCAACACACCACAAGGCTTGAGACACTCATTAATATATGTAATGAGTGTCTCAAGCCTTGGTGTGTTGATGGCAGGGTCATTGTATGT